TCTATCTATCTATCTATCTATCTATCTATCTATCTATCTATCTATCTATCTATCTCTGAAGAACAGTTACAAGAACTGGGCCTGGCTAGTCTAGGGAAGAGAAGGACCAGGGGAGACAGGAGAGCATCTTCCAATACTTGAGGGGCTGCCCCAGAGAGGAGGAGGAAGGGGTCAAGCTATTCTCCAAGGCACCTGAAGGCCAGACAAGGAATAATGGATGGAAACTGTTCAAAGAGCGATTCAACCTGGAAATAAGGAGGAACTTTCTGACAGGGAAGACAATCAACCCACGGAACAGAAGTTGCCTTCAGAAGTTGTGGGAACTTCATCACTGGAGGCTTTCAAGAAGAGACTGGACTGCCATTTGTCAGAAATGGTGTAGGGTCTCCTGCTTGGGATGGGGGGCTAGATTAGATGACCTACAAGGTCCGTTCCAAATCTGTTACCCTGATTTGATCTACTCTGTAAGATCTGGTCAATCCTCCACAAATCAGGAAAGCTTTCCTCCTCGGAAGATAGCTGTGGTGCTCCCCAAAAGACAATGCGATATATTGTGGAGCAGTGCCCTCTGTGTGCGTATCAGGGAAATGCTGGAGGCTTTCTTTATACAACTCCCATCGTGTATTTACAATAGTCTACCTTTGAATGTGTAAACAGGCTAAGTAGCCTCATATTTGCTCATTGAGAAGGTACTTGTGATGTGCTTTTTAACATTTTTGCCATATGCTAAACCAAAAAAGAAAGTCCACTTATTTAGCCTTTTTTTCATCTAGTCTTACAGGGAATTTATTAAAGATGGTTTGATTTTCAACTGGATACATGCTGAATTAGCCTTTCAGAGGGATTGTCCCTCTGCTTAAGGGGTCATGGCAAGCTGTCCTTGACCCATCCTTGTTTAGCATCATAGCCAACTCTGACTCTCAAAGAAGACATGCTTGTGTGCATCATTTCTCCACTGAGGTCAAGCCATTATTATAGGATAGCAGAGTCTCCTTGTCTACCCCTGATTTCCTTCATGGAGGCTGGATTGAAAACCAACGCACAGAGAATTCCCGAACCCCTAAATCTCTCAGCCTTTGACAGATCCCTTGTTTGATCAGCCCCTCAGCCTCAGATATGGGGAGGAAAACACATAAAGGGGAGGGCGGAGAGCCTCCAAGGGACAGAAGAAACACCACTCCATGGGAAGTAGGGACCCAACGCCTTTATTTTGAGGAGAGAAGTATTAGTCCACCGTGTATTTGAGGGGAAGGGTCCCCATGGCGGCTGGTGGGTCTTTGGTCTCTAAGTTGAGGCACCAGACACAATTTAGAAAAGTCGAATGGTGAATCTTGATGGACGGGAACCTGTAGAAAGAGAGTCAGTTAGGATGTTTCTGCTCAGGGATGTCTTCCACGCTCTGATTAAATCTTACAACCACGAGGCCCCAAGCCTTGCCCTGCTTAATCCTACAACAACAGAGAATTCAAAAGTTGGTGGGACCATCACGGATAGCCTTAGAGGACCTCTCAGAGAGCTAGAGTTTGTAGTTGGGTCACCAGACCAATCCATTGGTCTTTATGTCACCTGAGTCCACAGCCAAATGGCTGTTCATCTGTGCAGGTGAGGTGGACCCTAGTAGGTGGATTCTACCCTCTCTCAAAAGAGTGCCATTGCCAGCAATTTTAATTGGATGTCCACCATTCCGGGAGCAATGAAGGACTTTCAGGAGGAGAAAGTAGAAGGCAAGTGGGAGGGAAGATGGTTACGACAAGAGACATGAGGCTACCAATAAGAACTTTGCACTAGATGTCCAAATGAAGACCATCACCCATTGGGGTATAGACCCCGTCTGACAGAAACAAGGGTTTATTATTGGCTCACCTGATCAAGCCATAAATATATGTGACACCTGAGTGTAGACCTGTGCCTAGTCCACTGCTCCTTTGTCCCTTTCTCCCAAATGTCCCCATTCCAGGGTCAACTCCAGAAGCATTCAAGTGGATATCATTATTCAAGAAGAATGGAGGAAGAGGAGGAGGAGGAGGAGAACTGTGGAGTCCTTGGTCCTCTCTGAGCTTGGTTGTTTTCTTGCAGATGTTTCATGACCCAACTTGGGAACATCATCAGTGCTGGAAGTGGGGAAGGAGAAGGAGACAGGGAGAAGGACAACTAAAAGGTCCTTGGTGCTCTCTAAGTTTGGTTGTTTTCTTGTAGGTGTTTAATCACCCAGATACATAACATCATGAGTGGGAGGAGGAGGAGGAGGAGGAGGAGGAGGAGGAGGAGGAGGAGGAGGAGGAGGAGGAGGAGGAAAGACCTAGAAGATTCTATCAGGCTGCTACCCCCAGAGAATGGGAAGAAATTTGTACCAATTGTCCTTCTCTGCATCAGGAGGCCTTGCTCATGTCACAATCACTTCCTGGTCGACTGTTGCAATGCACTCTACAGGGGATTTCCCTAGAAACTGGTCTAGAATGTGATGACATGTTTTGTGATGGGCTCTCCACCGCTTGCCCATATGCCTCCACTACCCTTAGGGCTGCTGCAGTGGCTCCCAATGGGCTTTGGAGTACAATTAAAAGCAAACCATTGAAGCTCCACACGGCATAGGACCAGGTTATCTCATGACCTGCCTCATCCCACCCCATGCGTACCGACAAGGATTCTGCGTCCATTTGTTGAAACGATGCCAACTCGAGGGACACGAACCCTGCCTCATGGGACATTCTTCTCCCAACCCATGGCTGCCCTGACCCTGTTAGAAAAACTTGGCTCTTCCCAGGGCCTTGGACTCGTGATGTGCCAGAGCCTCCATTAAATGATGACGGGCTGTGTTGATTTAATATTGCCTGTTGATCTGCGCCTGGAGGGTTTTTTAAAAATAGTTCTGTTGGATTTCCTTGCATTTTATTTTTCTATTTACAAAGGCTGCACTACTATTACTATTCATCTTCTCATCACTCCTTATCACCCCTCCCCTCCCACTTGTGACTGTATGACTGTAACTTTGTCGCTTGTATCTTTACAATTTATATGGACTGTTTCCTATGATGATTTGATTGCTTATTGTACCCTAGGAGTATTATTAAGTATTGTACCTGATGATATTTGACTCTTGATGAATGTATCTATTCTTTTATGTACGCTGAGAGCATTTGCACCAAGACAAATTCCTTGTGTGTCCAACCACACTTGGCCAATAGAGAATCCTATTCTATTCTTCTAAGCTGCCCAGAGTCACCTGGGTTGAGTAGAGTGGTCCTATCAATGTTTCCTACCAAAGAAATCCTTTTGCGCTTGGGCGCGGAGCATAACATGGTGCAACTGTTGGATTTACACGTCTTCCTTTCAGCACCGAGGAAACTTAGGCAGCTGCCACGTGCTGGGATTGTGTGGGATTCCCACGAGTGGAGGGTCATCCTCCCAGGCCACCCTCCGCACTCTCAGATACATGGCCACTGGTCAGCATCTGCTGCCCTTCAGAGCTTTCTGGACCTTTCACCCTCCCAGGCCTGCCTCTTTTCTTCTGGCCTCCTCAGAGGTGGTGATGATGGTGACAGGACTTCCAAATTCACCAAATGAATCGAAGCCATGGCTCTTAAGATTCCTGTGGCCTCCACATAGTCAAAGAGAGGAATTTAGAAGACGTATAAAACAAATGGCAGGATTGGGGACTTCATTCCCTCCAGGAGCAAAGAAGACCAGGTCCTCTGGAATCAAAGAGCCCCCCCCCCCCTTCCCAATCTTTTAAACCCAGAATCGGACCCTCCCTTAAGGCTCAGCTAAGAGAGAACTTTCCCCGCCCTCCACCCTCTCTGTCCATCCTTCTGAGGTGGGACCGGCCTTCGCTGCCAGGTGTCTGATGGCTGGAGAAGACCTGGATGTTCTCCTTTCATCATATTTGAGTCTTGGCTCTTCCAAGGTCACAGCCAAGAAGGACAGAAGTTTCAAGGGTTCCAGAGAGATCCACTTGGATCCAGTCCATTCCGGGATCTATGAAGCCCTCCAGAGAGATGGATGCTCTTACCTTAGTCTGGATCCATGCAGTCAACGATGCATCCGTAAGGGCAACACTTTTGTTTCCCATGGCACTCCCAGTCACTTCTACACTTCACGGGACAAATAGTGATCAGGCCTTTGGGGGCCTTGGGACACACCCCGGGTTTTTCTGCAAAACAGATGATCCCAAGTCTGAGAGAATCCTCTGGAATTGGAATCCCAGATCAAGCAAGACCCCATCTCTGGGTCTTTGAGCAGCCAAAACATCTCCGTGCATCCAGTTTGAGACATGGACAGGTGGAACACGATCCTACCTTTCCCCCCCACCCCCCATGCCTTACTTCCCCACAAAACACAGCCATGGACAACCATTGTGGGGTCAACTTCTCAGGACCCTGGGCTGGACCCTAGAACTGGGCTCCTCTCTATTCATTTGGGATCCTGGAGTGGAAATCTGCAATCTTGTTTCCTCCAAAGAGGAAAATTGTTTTCCTTCTAGACAGAATAACAATGTCAGCTAAAAATAATAATGATACTTCTTTGGTCTTTTTAGTCGCCAGCAGAAAGAGAGGTGGGGGAAGCAGTGCATTCCTGAAATGCTTCAGATAATTGCTAGGCAGTCGAAAGCTGTTGGTGCACAAGATTATTACTGGAGAGCCTGATGGATGACGCTTGGCTATGGATGTGTCCCATTAGAGAATATACATCCAGGGGGTGGGAGGAAGACCAGGGTCAAGGGGGAAATGGATGGTATATTTTGGTGTCAGCTGCACCCAGGTAATGCCAACATGGCCACTCCTGATAAATCATTTTATTTTTTTTTTACTCTGAGAGACTTATGATTTGAATGGGGGTGGATTTGTTGGAGCCCTGACAAACAGAATACACAATTAGAAGGAACCTTGGAGGTCTTCTAGTCCAACCCCCTGCCCAAGCAGGATACTCTATACTGTTCTGGACAAATCGCTATCCAGGCTCTTCTTGAAAACTTCCAGTGTTGGAGCTCCCACGATTTCTGGTGGCAAGCTGTTCCACTGGTTAATTGTTCTCACTGTCAGGAAATTCCTCCTCGATTCCAGGTTGCTTCTTTCCTCAGATCAGTTTCCACCTGTTATTTCTTGTCCTGCCTTCTCTGGTGCTTTGGAAACTAGTTTGACCCCTTCCTCTTCTTTGGGGCAGCGCCTCAGATATTGGAAGATGCTATCATGTCGCCCCTGGGCCTTCCCTTCCCCAGGCTAGCCATGCCCAAATGAAGGACAGCATAGAGCAGAATAGAGCCGGAAGGGATAAGTGACTGTCCAGTGGCTTGTCTTCAGAAGTTGTGGGTTCTCCATCACTGGAGGGGTTGAAGAAAAGACTGGACAACCACTTGTCTGAAATGCTATATAACGCTTTCCGGTTTGAGCAGGGGGTTGGACTAAATGACCTCCAGGGTCCCTTCCCACTCTATTCTGAACTAAAATTTCTCTAATTGTGGGGCCTGAGGCTGCTCCCTCTTTTGACCCAAGCTGGAGGCCAACCCTTCCCGAAATCCCCTTCCCCACTTACCCTTACAAAAGTGAAGGCATTCCTCGAAACTCTCAAAATTGTTGCCGTTTCCTTTACAGCCGCCATAAATGAACTTCTTGCACTTCTTATATTTGTGATTGTAGTAGAAGCGAGTCATGTGGGCTTTACAGTGTCCGGGGTCAACAGGGTAGTGACATCTTTCTGTGGTGAAAAGGGGGGTTCGTTGGCTTGGAAGGAGAGTCCAGAGGAGTATGGAGATCTCTTCTCCATACTCAGGCCCAGGTCTGGGCATCCGGTTTATGAACCCCTAGGATCCCCCAGACTGAGGTTGTGGGTTCCTTGGTGTTCTCTGAGGTTGTGTGTTTTTTTTTCCTTGCAGGCTTTTCATTACCCAATTAGGAGACATCATCAGGGCTACTGTATCATGACAGAACTAATAGCATTGGGTACCAAAATATCTGCAAGAAAACTTCCTCATTCCCTTCTCCTTCCATGTAGCAACCCCACTCCTTTCTAAGCACTGATGATGTCACCTAGTTGGGTAATGAAACATCTCCAAGTAAACAGCCAACTTTGGAGACCATCAAGGATTCCATAGTGCTCTTCTCTTCCTCCTCCTCCTCCTTGCCCGCCTCCTCCTCCTCCTTCTCGTCCGCCTGTCTCCACCTTCCTTTCTTCTTCTCCTTCTCTTTCTCCTTCTCCTTCTCTTTCTCCTCCTCCTCCTCCTCCTCCTCCTCCTCCTCCTCCTCCTCCTCCT